GGCCGGCAGCTGGGCGGCCAGAGCTGTCTGCTCTCAGAGTTAACAGCTAGGCCCTGGCCGTGGGCCCCGAGCCTGGAGCTTCAGCTCAGTCGTGACCTTGAAGGGGAGAAGGGTGAATCTTTCAGGCTCTCCAACCTTTCTACCTAAGAAAGGCAGCCCGACTCCATCAAATGTGTGTTCTGGACGCTCTCAGCTTTCCCTCTCTGCATGGGTGGTGCTCTTTCAGAATGGGTACTTCCAGGGGTGTCTCTCCAGCTCCTGAGCCCAGAACCCCTCTTTCTCTTGAGACTGTCTTCCTCCCACGCGCAGGGTGGACCCCAGGTGGCCACTTGCCGTATGACCCGTGTCACTTACCATGTGGCCAGGGATGGAGAAAGGACCCACGTGAGACCACATGAGCGTCAATAGTCCCCAGAGCAGGTGACTTGGGGTGGCCATATCCTCCACCACCATGCGGGCTGCGGAGCAGAGAGAAGAGAGGAGGCTGCGAAGAACAGAAGTAGGGACAGGGACAAGCCTCAAAGAAAAAGTCCAAGTTCCAGAACCTCCTAGAGCCTCAACCATGCCTTGGTCTTGGGCTCAAGATGTTTTCTCTCCTTATGATAAATCTCCCTGCCCCCACTTTTTTTTTTTAGTTAAAAATAGAAAATAGGGGCATCTGGGTGGCTCAGTCGGTTGAGCGGCCCACCTTAGCTCAGGTCATGATCTTGCCGTCTGTGAGTTCAAGCCCCGCATCGGGCTCTGTGCTGGCAGCTCAGACCCTGGAGCCTGTTCAGATTCTGTGTCTCCCTCTCTCTCTGTCCCTCCCCTGCTCACACACTCTCTCTCTCTCTCTCTCAAAAATAATAAATATTTAAAAAATAGAAAATAAAACAAAAAAAGAATAAAAGCTTCAAATCTGGAAGGCGATTAGCTTTTCCAGGCTACTCCATGTCACAGCCCAGCCCTGCCTCACGGCCTTTCCCTCCCTGCTGGTCTGGGATAGCTCTCGTTCAAGTCATTTCCTTGACCCGTGTAACAAAAGCAGGGGCGTTTGCTGAGTGAGGCCAGGCAACAGCGTGAGTTCCCAGGAGGAGCGACCCCACTGCCAGCCTTTCCCTAACAGCCTCCAGAGAAGTTTGAAGATCAGAACAGAGAGCACCCTTCCTGGGGGATGTGAACAAGCATTCTTCCCTGGGGTCCAGGTACCAGGAAGCACGGCGGCCGCCTACAGGGGCGGCCGCAGTGCAGAGGGAGGCCCCGAGCGAGGAAGGATAAACACGGGTAATCTGCTTATGGTGTGTACCACCTTGGGCCAGCCCCGTATTTTTGTAGGGATCAAAGTCTCCTGTGTCTTCCACCTGTAATAACAGTGACTGTGTATTCTGTGGGTTCAACTTCTGTGTCTTTTTCAGATTCATATCTCCGGGGCTTACAAAGCACGTTGCACATACACAGTGAACATCTGTTGAATGAGATGTTCTTCTGCGTGTGTGTATTTCAGATTCTCTTCCACATTTGTTTAAATCCATTTCAAAGGGTGCCTGGGTGGCTCAGTAGGTGCTCAGGTCATGATCACATGGTTCGTGGACTCGAGCCCCGCGTCGGGCTCTGTGCTGACAGCTCGGAGCCTGGAGCTGCTTCACATTCTGTGTCTCCCTCTCTCTCTGTCCCTCCCCGGCTCACACTCTGTCTCTCAAAAATAAACAAACATTAAAAAAAAAATTTTTTTTTAAGAAACAGAAAGCCTTTTGAAAGCACTGATGTGATATGTCACCACGGCGGGCTTTGTAGTAAGGGCTGCTTAGCATGATTTCTGCCCCGTCCCCCCTCGGGGTTTGCTATTTAGGGAAGAGTTGATATCTCCATTGAGCGAATACAACTCCAAAACACGCCCAATTCGATGACACACACAGGTTCAGCATTCACGTTGTCACCTGGACGTAGAGCTCGGGTCAGGCTACCTCCCAGGGCTTCATCATACTCACTCATTTCCCGGCATGCCAGGGTTACGACCTGGCATTTTATCTCTGTGTTGATCCGTCATCCCCTTTACATCCTGGGTTCCGTGGGGGAAGGACTGGGCCTGGGTGAGCTCATCACCCAGGCCCAGTAACTAGCACAGCGTTCATGGCAGACGCTCCAAAAATAGTGGCTGCATAAAAGAATAAACGAGGGGCTGTGGAGTTGGGGGGGGGAGGGAAGGTGGAAGTCAAAGCTGCAACCAGAGGAGTGGGAGACCGGACTCAGGAGAGCCCCCAACTTGAACATGACAAATCAAGAATGAGCGGGAACGAAGCACCACAGTCGGGGAGTGAGGGTGGATCTTATTTGGCCCAACATGTGTTTTGTTTTGTTTTACGTTTATTCATTTTTGAGAGACAGAGTGTGAGTCGGGGACGGGTGGAGAGAGGGAGACGCAGAATCCAAAACAGGCTCCAGGCTCCGAGCTGTCAGCACAGGGCCCGATGCGGGGCTCGAACCCGCAGAACTGTGAGATCGTGACCTGAGCCGAAGATGCTTAACCTCCTGACCCGCCCAGGCGCCCCGCTGAGTGTGTGGTTTGCACCAGATGCTAACCGCAGGCTGTCAGTGAATGCTCACAGCAGACTTTTCTCAGAAGCAAAAGGCTGCAGCCCATTTTACAGAAGAGAAAACCAAGGCCCAGGAGGGTGAAGATTTCTCCCAGTCGCGCTGGCTAATTCTCACTCAGGTCCGTTTGGCTGCATATTTCATGCTCTCTCTTTTCTCTCCGTGGCCCCAGTAAGTCTGTGATATGTGGCTTGGAAGAAGAATGATGGAAGCAGACAGAAGGGAGCTGCTCGGGACATGAATGACCGTGATAAGCCAGGGAGGCCCGGGACACCACGTACAAAGGGCAGGAGTTAGGGACACCTGGAAATCCATCAGGGGGATGGCCAGGTTACCAGAGAGAACGATTCTTCCTCCCAAGTCTCCCAGAAGTCCCCCCAAAACCTGTGAGCACAGAGACCCCACCTCGAAGGCCAATGACAGAGCCACGCAGGGTGGAGGACCCACGCTTTTCTCGGCAGAACCCCTGAAGCTAATTTGCATAAATTAAGTGATACTCTGACAGCCTCACACAAAAGGAGAAAATAAAGAAAAAGTAAATCTAATCCTTGGAGCCAAAGCCCTGAGTGCCCCAAGCCAGGCCAGGCACCCTGAATAACGACGAAGCATCATAGGGTGGCATTCAGCTCACGGGCCCCCCACTGCCTTGCGAGGGCACCCTCCCCACCCCCATCTCCCACCTGAAATTCTTCAGTAGCTCCTCCTGGACGAGAAGACCAATGATGAAGTCCAAACTCCTTAGTCGGGCCTACAACGCAAACAGTAATCCGGTTCTCCCTACCCGCTTGGGCCCGTCTCCTGCCCAGGCAGAGCGCCTTCCCTCATGCCCACCGAGCCCGCACGCCTTTCTCTCCCCCCCTCCAACCCGGGGCGAGACTTGTTCCGTGTCGTAATCACACAAATGTGTAGTCGCTAGAACCCCCTTCCCCGCGGCTGGGAAACACGGCTCACACCCGACATGTCCAGCATCTAACATGAGATGTGGGCTCTTGACAAATGACTACTTGCTGAGTACGTAGATGTTTCCTGACGGTGCCACCACACACCCGTGTCGTTAGGCAGGGTTTGAAGTAAATACTTCAGGCAGATCTTTCAGTCCAGGCTGGCAGCCATAGTCTTGACATGAACGCATCTTTTCCTATTTCCTCACGAACAAGGTGATCTTTGTTACCTACCCTTCGTTTAAAAAAAAAAAAAAGATGGGGCACCCGGGTGGCTCGGTTGGTAAAGCGTCTGATGTCGGCTTAGGCCATGATCTCACAATTTGTGAGTCTGAGCCCCACATCGGGCTCTCGCATGGGGCTCTCTGCTGTCAGCCCACTTCAGATGCTCTGTCGCCCTCTCTGTTCCTCCCCCACTTGTGTGCACGTGGGCTCTCTCTCGCTCAAAAGTAAATTTAAAAAAAAATTAGAAGGATCGGGGCTCCCGGGTGGCTCAGTCAGTTGAGTGTCTGACTTCAGCTCAGGTCACAATTTCATGGTTCATGAGTTCGATCCCCATGTCTGACTCTGTGCTGACAGCTCAGAGCCTGGAGTCTGCTTTGGATTCTGTGTCTCCCTCTCTCTCTGACCCTCCCCTGCTCACACTCTGTCTCTCTGTCTCTCTTTCAAAAATAAATAAACATTAAAAAATTTTAAATTAGGGGCGCCTGGGTGGCTCAGTCGGTTGGGCGTCCGACTTCGGCTCAGATCACGATCTCACAGTCTGTGGGTTCGAGCCCCGCGTCGGGCTCTGTGCTGACAGCCAGCTCAGGGCCTGGAGACTATTTCAGATTCTGTACTTCCCTCTCTCTCTGACCCTCCACTGCTCAAGCTGTCTCTGTCTCTCTCTCAGAAATAAATTTTAAAAAATGTTTTTAATTAAAAGGATCTCGCTACTAGGGTGCGTGGGTGGCTCAGTCAGTTAAGTGTCTCAGGTCATGATCTTGTGGTTCGTGAGTTCGAGCCTCGTGTTGGGCTCTGTGCTGACAGCCCACAGAGCCTGTAGCTTGCTTTGGATTCTCCCTCTTGCTCTCTGACCCTTTCCTGCTCACACTGTCTCTCTCTCTCTCTCTCAAAAATAGATAAACATTTTAAAAATTTAAAAAAAAAAAAAGAAAGAAAGAAAAAGAGGTCAACAGATAGTAAGTGACAAGGCCAGGGTCACAGTCGTTCCTGGAGCAGGTGGAGAGAGCGCTGTCCAGGGTTAGCAATGTCACCTCGGCTCCTGACACCCGGTTCCCAGAACCAGCTCCAAGCCACCACCGCAGTCTCTTTAGTGGTCACAGGTAAGTTTCCAGACCGATTGCCAGCAGCTTAATTCGGGGCATAGATGGCGATACTCATGTCTTGTGGTTTGAAGCCTACCGAATGCACAAGAAGAAATACCACTTATGCTCCAACCTGTTGATCCGATCCTCGGCCTTAACCAAAGTGTACTTCCGTCCCTAGGCGTCAACACGTGGATGACGAGGAGAGGTCTCCAGAGTCACCTCACCAGGCTGCACGGCAGGCACCCCCATGGGAAGGAATGATGATGGCTCCTGCGTCATCATCAGCGCCGGAGAAGAGCGAGCAGACGCCCGGGGCCCAGACCACGGCCCACCCCGCCCACGGGGGCATCAAAGGAGAGGCCAGTGGGGCCACCTCCCCTAAGCCGGCCCCACCGAGGGGTCAGGAGTGGAGGGACACTGTGCTGGACACGCTGTCCCCGAGGGCACGGGACAAGGGACTGTCACTGAGGAGTCAGGACAGGAGGGCCATCACAGGAAGGCAGGACCAGAATGGGGAACCCACAGCCACCAGGATGGTGCCCTCGAAGCCTCTGGCCAAAGCGGCCACCTCGGCAAGGACACCCACGCCAGAAAGCCAGGCGCTGGCCACCCCAGGCGCGGGGTCGATGAAAGGAGTGGCCTCAGCCGCCACCCCCTGCGCGGAGACAGCCCGGGCCAAGCCACCCTCCACCCGTGTCCAGGGCCACACCACACAGAGAAGCCCAAGTCTGCGGGCTGCCAACTTCAGGTCTGAGCCCCGGTGGGATTTTGAGGAGCAATATAGCTTTGACACGGGGGCCCTACAGACGGTGAGTCCGGCCACTGGCTCCCTGCTCTTAGCCCTGAGCGCACAGTCCACCCCGCCTCCCTGAGCGCCCAGGCTCCGCCCCCAGGCTCTGCCTGGTCCCTCCCCGAGCCCTCTGCTACCTGGTTTTCACCCCATCCTGGTGGGGGCAGGAGGGGAAGGTGGCCCCGATCCTGGCCACAGCCTGCCCTGGAGCCCCGAAGGCCAGGAGGGTCCCTGGGCAGCGTCAGAGAGTCCTCCCGGCTCTGGAGCCCGATGTCCACACCTGCATCCTCCATCCTCCGCAGGGGGAGGGGTCGAGGGTTGAAAGGCGGTGTGGAGGGGCAGGCGCCCGGTCCTGCTGCCCAGCCCTAATTCCTGGGAATGCCTCGTCTTCCCCGCACAGATAATTCCCCAACCTTCCCTCTCTCCCTGGGCTCACACCTACCAGAGGGAAGCGTTCAAAATATGTATGTTTACACACATAACTGCAGCCTCGCCCAGGAAGCCCTCCAGGCTCCCAGAGTCTCCATCCCCCTCCCACCCACCAAGATGCATTCCCTAGAGGACCAAGAATCGCCTGTTCCCCGGAACCCTCAGGGCCATGGCGGCCAGGACAATGGCGAGGGAGGGTCAGCAGACCCTCCACATACGATAGAAAAGGCAGTGCCTTCCAAACTGTGAGGCCCACCTTCTGCCCCCGCTCCCCGCCCAGCCCCTGGCCGTGGCCTTCCTGGGCCTTTCCCTGCCTGACCCACCTTCCTGCATGTAGACCTGCTCCGACTCAGTGAAGGTCAAGGCCTCCAAGTCACCCTGGCTCCAGACACTCTTTCTGGCCAACCTCACCCTCTTCATGGACTCCAGCAATTTCAACCAGAGTGAGTGGGACCGTCTGGAACACTTTGCACCTCCCTTTGGCTTCATGGAGCTCAATTACTCCTGTGAGTCTTCCCTGGGGTGGGGGCGGGGGTGGTAGCCTGGGCCTCCGACCGCCATGGCAAGGGGGCAGCTGGCCTCTGCCTCTGGGCTGCCTCTCCCCTGGGGGCCGGCAGCCCTGGGAGCAATGATGGGCTGCCCCCTGGCCCTTCCAGGGCTCTGAATGCGAGTTGAAACTCACATTGTTTCAGTGGTGCAGAAGGTTGTGACCCACTTCCCTCCGGTGCCCCAGCAGCAGCTGCTCCTGGCCAGCCTCCCTGCTGGGAGCTCCCAGTGCATCACCTGTGCAGTGGTGGGCAACGGGGGCATCCTGAACAACTCCCACATGGGCCAGGAGATAGACAGCCACGATCACGTGTTCCGGTAAGCTGTCCGCCCCCAGGCTCCCATCCTGACTCCTTCCTGCAGAGACTGACTCTTCTGAGAGATCGGATCGGGCGTTCTCCGCCTGGGTCCGGAAGGTGGAATTCCTGGGCTCCCCGGAGATCCCCTCTGTAACTGCTGCCTCCCCCATTTCCCCTCTCTCGCCCCCACCCACCTCTGTGCGTTCCCTCCTGCACTCATGGGCTCTGTCTGGCTCTGTCTCTCTGCGTAGATTGAGTGGAGCGGTCACTAAGGGCTACGAAAAGGATGTGGGTACCCGGACGTCCTTTTACGGCTTCACTGCCTTCTCGCTGACCCAGTCACTTATGGCCTTGGGCGGTCGAGGTTTCTGGCACGTGCCTCTGGGGAAGGTGAGTGAGAGGGACGGGCCTGCCACACACAGCATCTGAAGGAGGGAGCCTAGTGTCCTGGGTCTGGAGTCTGGAAGGTGCAGGCTCTGGCCCTCCGAGGGCGGCCAGGCAGAGCTCCAGAGAGCAAGGGGGCAGGCTGGAGTCGGAGCCAGGCCGCCCCAGCCCCTGGGCCTGAAGGCGGGACTCTGGGGCCACACACTGTCCTTGGTCCTCAGCATGTCCGCTACCTGCACTTCCTGGAAGGCACCCGAGACTATGAGTGGCTGGAGGCGCTCCTTTTCAATCGGAGCCTGGAGAAAACTGGCCTTTCCTGGTTCAGGTACCCCCTGTCCCCTCCCCCCCTCCCCCAGGCAGAGCCATGAAGGGGGCTGGGCAGGTGGGCACAGCCTTAGCTCTCACTGGGGGATGGGGTACCAGGCCCACATAGCAGGAAGTGAGCCGACGGAGCCTGAGGGACCCTTTCCCGTCCGCAGGCACAGGCCCCAGGTAGCTTTCCGGGGACACCTGCCGCTGGACAGATACCTGTTGCTGCACCCGGACTCGCTGCGGTACATGAAGAACAGGTGCGGGCAGGTGAGGCGCACGGCAGGTGCTGGGTCCCTGCGGGCCGCGCAGCCTCCTGACGGCCGGGGGCTGGGGTATTTCACAGGTTTTTGAGGTCTAAGACCCTGGACACTGTCCACTGGAGAATCTACCGCCCGACCACCGGCGCTCTCCTGCTACTCACGGCCCTTCAGCTCTGTGACCAGGTGAGGCCCCGGCGCACGAGCAGGGACACCTGGGGAGACAGCTGTGGGCTGTCCCTGGACGTGTCCACATGGGACGGGACAACGGCCGTGACGGAGCAAGGGGGGGCAGGGGTGAGGAGTGGGGGTGAGTGTGGCTACGTAAGTGTACATCCAGGGATCTGCATCCAGACCTCTAGGGATGGAGCCAGAGTTCAGCCCCGCCCCCCCCCCATACACACAGCCCATGAGAGTGAGCCTGAGAGAGAGCAGCAACTTCGGACCTATCTCTCCTCTAACCTTTATGCAGGTGAGTGCCTATGGCTTCATCACCGAAGGCCACGAGCAATTCTCTGATCACTACTATGATAAGTCCTGGAAAAAAACAGTCTTTTACATCAACCACGACTTCCCGCTAGAGAGAACGCTCTGGAAGCGGCTGCATGATGAAGGTATAATCCGGCTGTACCAGCGTTCCGTCATTTCCAAACCAAAGGTGTGACAGGAGCCAGGACAGCAGCAGCCTCTTCGTCCGTCCCTAGGCACGGGGCGGAGTGCGGGGTCTTGAGACTTTCCGCCATTTTCCCAGGGCTCAGGCCAGGCTCCAAGCCCCTCCAGACTCCCTAGGGGACACTGGCACCAAGGAGGAGACACTCCCAAGGTGGCAAATGACTGAGGTTTTGGAGACCTTGGAACATTGCTACGGGCTCCTTTCAAAGGAAGGACAACTCTTATCTTGAGACCAAGGAATTTGAACTAAACGGGGTAATGACTGATCAATACCACAAATCCCCGCCCCCTTCGCTGTCCAGAAGATGCTTGACACCGGGGCGGGGGGGTGGGGGGGTGGAATGCCTGAACCTATGGACGCACATGGATCTGGCCTTTTGGGTTTTTTGCCTGAAAAACCTTCACACCCAGCGAGGAGCCCATTGAGGGGCTTGAACTCACGATGCTGAGATCAAGACATTCGCTGAGATCAAGAGTCGGATGCTTAACTGACGGAGCCATCCAGGCGCCCCTAGATTTGCTTTTGAATTCTAAATCTTGTACTTAGCAGCTGTGAAATCTTGAAGGTCTTACTTAATTTCACTGTAGACTGTCTAGAGGATCCTTCCGGGGCTTATCATATTCTAGAAGGATCTACACCTTTCCTTGTCTTTGAGCTATTTGGCAACTCTCTGGGTTGTGGACAACTGATAGTAAAAAAGAATGATTCTTGTCCATGAAGATGCAAAAAGTCTTATATAATGAAGACACAAATAATGATTCCCCAGTGGCTGGTGACCCCATTTCATACGTACAAGCAAGTTCGTTTTAGCATTCCTCGTTGCCTACATGTGTGTCTGTGCTTTGGACTGTCCTTTGAACTAGTATTTACATCTCAACGGTTCCTTTGTTAATTAATAAGTTAAATAAAATCCTTGACATGTGTTCATTTTACGTTTGTATGAGAATCACGATTTTACCCTTAAAAACACACCCTTTACCATGTCCTTAGGCCACCGTTTTCTAATCTGTGACAGGACTTTTACGGTATCCATTTCGCAAGGATTTAGAAAATTACCGTATGTAAAAAGCCTGATACTCAGGGACCCAGTGTCCTCCCCTTTCATTCTCTATCCTCCCATCGTCCAAAAGTTTCTCAAATCCCACGTAGAGAATTTGGACCAAGCCCACGGCATTTCACTTCATCTTATCCCCCCTGAGCTCTGTCTCCAGGATTAAGATTCTGAAGCCCAGAAAGAATTCTAAAGATGCTAAACCGAATAGAGGCCCTTGATGAAGGAGGACACGGAAGGCCAAAACCAAACACAAACACAAAAAACAAACACAAGCTTTCTTTCAGACTTCATGCACAGGGTTCAAAAGTTATTTGATATCAATAGGACAGAATTTGCTTTGCTCAGGAGGGTTGCAGTACCAGCTCTGGGCAGCAGGTGGCAACATCTCTCGACCCCTTGTCTGGGATGCTCAACTTGTCTTTTTCAGGTTTTCCTAGCTATTCTTACATGTTTATCCTTCCGTGTGAATTCTAGTATCCGCTTAAAATCTAGGAAAAATGTTTTGGTATCTTAATTGTAATTGCATTAGATTTATAAATTTACTTGGGGAGAGGGACATCTGGATGGCTCCGCCGGTTGGGCCTCCGACTGGCTCACATCGTGATCTCACTGTGTGTGAGTTCAAGCCCCTTGTGTCGTGCTGACGGCTCAGAGCCTGGAGCCTCCTTCGGATTCTGTGTCTCCCTCTCTCTCTGCCCCTCCCCTGCTCACACTCTCTCTCTCTCAAAAACAAACATTAAAAAAAAATTGTGTAATAAATAAATTTACTTGGGGAGAACTGACGGATGTGTTGAGTTCTCTTTTCCAAGAGCAAGACCATCCTCCATCTGTCCAATTCCTTGTTTGTGTCTTTCAGTATTTTAATGTTTTCCTCATACAGATTTCGAACTTTCCTTGTTGAATGCAGCACTCAGTCTTCTATCTTCTTTGTTGCTGTTGAAACAAAACATGCTACAACATGATATATCCGCTCCCTGGTTATTATTTATGTTTGTGAAGGCTGACAAATGCTATCATAGCATCTGCACATAGACTATTTTCAAATTATGCCTCTAATTTATTTCTCTTTCCCAAGTCTTTCGACTGGTATGTCAGGAATGAGCCAACACAATTTACTCCCCTTTGGATCCAGATAAACGAGACTCAGCCTTTATGTTTGGGTTCGCCTGAATTTAAATTTGAGGAAGTAGATTTGGAGTTCTCTGCTGATAGTATAAGACAGGATGTGCTACATAGTGTCGATAGAGTAAGGCAGTAGAATATAAAATTAACACATCGAGATCAATAGCTCCTTGACCAAAACAAATCCTTTTCTGTAGGAATTTACCCTGAATGTAAATCTTCAGTAATACAAAAATAAATATGCACAAGATTATTCAACTTCAGGATTGTTCAAAAGCACAAAATATTGGGAAATGCTGAGGTACTTAAATGAAAGAGGGGCGCCTGGGGGGCTCAGTCGGTTAAGCGTCTGACTTCAGCTCAGGTCATGATCTTGTGGTTAGTGAGTTTGAGCCCTGCGTCTGACTCTGTGCTGACAGCTCAGAGCCTGGAGACTGTTTCTGATTCTGTGACTCCCTCCCCTGCTCATATGCTCGCTCTCTCTCAAAAATAAATAAACATTAAAAAAAATTGTTTTTAATGTAAGAGATCTGAACATGAAGAAGGATACATCTGTGCAACAGAGGACGAGGCAGCTGAAATAAAATGAGGAAGATCTCTGTGGACTACCATGGAGTGGTTTTAAGGGTGTGTGTATGTATAGTTACACATATTTTTTAAGTTTAATTACTTATTTATTTAAACAATCTCTACACTCAACATGGGGCTCAAACTCAGGACCCTGCAATCAGGAATCTCATGTTCTTCTGACCAAGCTAGCCAAGGTGTCCCTCTGGGTATATTATTAATTTAAAAAAAAAGAAAAACTAAAGACAAAGGCTATTTATACTATTTATACCTTTTATATAGGAAATAATTAAATAATAATCACGTATCTGCTTATTTTTGCAAGAAGACAGACAAGGAAAAGACACCAGAAACTAGTGAGGCTGGTGACCTACGCAGGGTGCGGGGTTAGAAGTTTTCCTTTACCCTTCAGGGCTCTTCCTGCCGGCCTAAGAATGAAATTGACATGACACAGATTTTTTTTTTTTAATATTTTTATTTATTTCTAGGAGAGAGAGAGACAGCGTGAGCAGGGGAGGGTCAGAGAGAGAGGGAGTCACAGACCAAAACAGGCTCCAGGCTCCGAGCTGGCAGTCAGCACAGAGCCCAACGCGGGGCTCGAACCCACGAACCGCGAGATCATGACCTAAGCGAAAGTCGGACGCTTAACCCACTAAGCCACCCAGGCGCCCTGACATGACACAGATTAATAGGAGAAAATGTCCTTCAGTTTCATACACATGGGAAACTCACATGGAGGAGAGGTTCAAAGACAGAAAAGTAAAATGAGGTGTGTGTGCCGTCCTGAGCTGAGGAATGGGAGGGAAGTCTGGGCTTCCCAGGGGAGGAGGGAACTCACAGGGCAGTAAGAAAAGCAGTTATTTCATAATTAGATGTTTGCCCTGCCACACAGACGGGTCACTCCAGTAAAATTTATCTCTGGTAGCACCTCTTATTCTGGGAAAGAACTAATGTAGACTCTTCTAGGTAGTTAGGGAAGGTCGAGAATTTCTCTCCAGCCACAGATCTTGATTGCCTTCGGTTCTAAATAGTCCACAAAGGGGCACATTTTGGAAAGACTTGTTCTGAGCCTCTTCAGGAGTAGAACAGGGTAGAAGGGATGAGGGTGCAGAACAGGGCGCGGGGAGGGAGTGACACTTCTCTAAGTATACCTGTTGGCATAGTTTCCCTTTGTGCTGTTAAAAAAACAAAATCCAACTGAGTAAATTTGAAGAGCTAATTGGCTTTTCTCAGCAACTGGGAATTGGGAAGCATCCCGTCTAACAAACGGAAAGGAACTCCCAGGAGCTCTGCAAAGTAAGAGATGTGGGCAGAAGGCGGTTGGGGGGGAGGGGTGCGGTTTCTAACAAAAGAGTAATTGTTTCAAGCGAGGTTACTTTTTTTGGAGGGGAAAGGTGGGGGTTCATCATGCAGATCACCTCACTACTGCTCATCAGGATTATTACCGATGGTTAAAAGTCTCAGGTCACGGGGCGCCTGGGTGGCTTAGTCGGTTGAGCGTCCGACTTTCGCTTAGGTCATGATCTCGCGGTTCGTGGGTTCGAGCCCCGCGTCGGGCTCTGTGCTGACTGCCAGCTCAGAGCCTGGAACCTGTTTCAGTCTGTGACTCCCTCTCTCTCTGACCCTCCCCTGCTCGTGCTGTCTCTCTCTCTCTCTCTCCTAGGAATAAAAAAAAAAAGTCTCAGGTCACATTCCCCGGGAGGCAAATCTGCAATTACATTAGATATTAAGTCTTCGCTTGCTGACGTGCCTTAGCACAAGTGACTCTATTTGGAGCATGTTGTCTCTTTTTTTCCTTTAACAGAAGCTTAATATTTAATATTATTAAAAAGTATTAAAAATCAGCAAGGATGGGGGGAGGAGAATCCTAACATGGAATACGAAGATAAGTAACTGGAAAAAAATTAAACCTAACTATTAAACTATTATTTATAGTTTAATGCCTGGGTGGCTCAGTCAGTTAAGCATCCGACTCTTGATCTCAGCTCAGGTCTTGATCTCAGGGTTGTGATTCAAGTCCTGCTTTGGGCTTGAGTGTATTATGCTAAGCAAAGTAAGTCAAATACCATATGATTTCACTCACATGTGCAACTGAAGAAATAAAATAGATGAACATATGCGGGGGGAAGAGAGGGAAACAAGCCATAAGAGACTTAAAAAAATTTTTTTTAATGTTTATTTACTTTTGAGAGAGAAAGAGAGAGTGTGAGTGGGTGAGGGGCTGGGCGTGGGGCAGAGAAAGGGGTGGGGTGGGGGACACAGAATCTGAAGCAGCTCCAGGCTCTGAGCTGTCAGCACAGAGCCCGACGCGGGGCTCAAACCCACGAACCGAACCGTGAGATCATGACCTGAGCTGAAGTCAGACACTTAACTGACTGAGCCACCCAGGCGCCCCTAGGAACTTTTACAGATAGAAAACAAACTGAGGGCTGATGGAGAGAGGCGAGTGGGGACTGGGCTAGAGGGGGGATGGGCATTAAGGAGGGCACTTGTGATGAGCCCTGAGTGTTGTATGTAAGTGGCGAATCACTGAATTCTACTCCTGTAAAATAATTACGCTGTGGTTTTGCAAAAGAAAATATCCTTGCCCGGGGCGCCTGGGTGGCTTAGTCGGTTAAGCGTCCAACTTTTGCTTAGGTCATCATCTCGCGGTTCGTGGGTTCGAGCCCCGTGTCGGGCTCTGTGCTGACTGCCAGCTCAGAGCCTGGAGCCTATTTTGGTCTGTGACTCCCTCTCTCTCTGACCCTCCCCTGCTCACGCTGTCTCTCTCTCTCTCTCTCTCTCTCTCTCCTAGAAATAAAAAAAAAAAAATATCCTTGCCCTTGGCCAATAGACTGAAGGGGTATTTAAGAATAAAGAGACATCACGTCTGCAACTTGCCTTACAAATTGTTTAGGGAACATGGTTCAGGAAAGAGAGAGAGGAAGAATGATAAAAGCAAATGTGGCAGAATATCAACGATTGGGAGATCTGGAGGAAGTGACTGTTCTTACAACTTTTCTGGAAATAGGAAATTATTTCAAAATTAAAAAAAAAAGAGCAAGGATGCTAAAAATGTAGGATTTCTGTCAGGAGCAGTATGGTGGGTTCACTACTGTATAGAGCCTTCCTACGACTAAGCAGCTCAATCCTGGATAATAAATGTCTGTGTAATGCCTTGCTGACTTCACAGTGAGGGAGGTCTCCTTTCCTATGCCACCCATGCTCCTCACCCAATCTTCAAATTTGAGCTGAAACCAGAGTTGGGAATAGAAAGCATCCAACACCCAAGAAATACAGACTTTCTTCAAGGACAAATGTCAATGTCAAGACTTCATCTATAGAAAGACTAGGCCTTGAGCCAGTAGCTGGGGTTGGGGGGCTGACCTGACACTCTCGTATTAAGCTGAGATAATAGAAGGAGAATGAAGGTCGTAGAACTCCCTGGCCACCAGCTGAAGCAAATACAAATCCTCTGTGGAAAGGGTCGCCTCCAGTGAGGCCCCCAGGTTTCCCTTACATTAAGTCAACAAAACCCAAGCACCTCCCCACCCCTCACCCAAGGATTTCCGATATTGGAGTAAGCAGATACAGAATACAAGGTGCATATGTACAAAACCCTTGAAGGAATTTTTAAAACTGCAATTCCCAGAAACGGGGCACCTAGGTGGCTCAGTTGGTTGAGTGGCCAAATTCAGCTCAGGTCCTGATCTCGCAGTGGGTTGGTTCGAGCCCCGCATCGGGCTCTGTGCTGACAGCTCAGAGCCTGGAGCCTGCTTCAGATTCTGTGTCTCTCTCTCTCTGTGCCCCTCCCCTGCTCACGCTCTTTCTCTCTCTCAAAAATAAATAAACACTTTTAAAAAATTTTTTTAAAAGAATAAACAGAGATATAAAGATATTAAACTAAGAGAGATTTAAAAATATAGAAGATGAAATAAAAGGACCTAATATAAGCCTAAACAGAGTTCTCCATTCCCCACCCTCCAAAAAATAAATAGAGAATGAAACTGAGATAACATTAGAAGAGGTAAAGGCCAACAATTCCCAACATGTGACTGAGATATGAATCTTCAGTACGGGAAGCACAACGTACACCAGGCAGGATAAATAAATATGAAATCCGCATGAGACACATGGTGGCGAAGGACACGCCACCACAGGAAAAGCAGCCAGAGAGAAAAATGTAGAACACGGACACTGGACCTGTAATGAGATCAATAGCCGCTTTTCTCAACGGCGATAACATAACGGAAGCCAGAAGGCAGTAGAACTCTGTCTTCAAAGCGCTGAGAGAGAACTCACCTTCCTACTGAGTAAAACGATCCAGAACAGGGTGAACCAATGTTCACCTTTCCCATGTCTGAAAACTGATTTTACCACCAACAGATTTTCTTCTTTTCTAATTTGTTAACATTTATTTATTTCTGAGAGACAGAGATACAGCACGAGAAGGGGAGGGGCAGAGAGAGAGGGAGACACAGAATCAGAAGCAGCTCCAGGCTCCGAGCTGTCAGCACAGAGCCCGACGTGGGACTCAAACCCATGAACCGTGAGATCATGACCTGAGCCGAAGTTGGACGCTTAACCGACTGAGCCCCCCAGGCGCCCCTCACAACAGGGACTTCCAAAGAATGTATTTCTAGAGGGAAGAAGATGGTCCTATCAAAGCCTGGAAAGAAGAAGGAAGTGAGAAGGAAACTGGGCCAGAGAACAATTAGTGAATGTGACGTAATAGAAAAAATATAAGTATGTTTTGGGCTCTGCCCCCCCACTTTGCCCCCGGCCAGTCCTACCCCTGGCACCTAGCTCCTAAAACCCTAGAACTCCCTGGGTGTCAGGAATGGTTTTTGTTCTAATGAGGGGGGTCTAGGTGGGCTCTGGGGTGGGGACTGGTCACCACAGAGACCAAGCCAAGATTCGAAGTCTGGAGTTTTTAGTCCCCTATCCTCCAGAATGGGCAGAGGGGCCATACATGGATGAATGGATGGTCATGCCCATGTGATGAAGCTTCCGCAAAACCCCAGTACTAAGGGGCTCGGAGAGTTGCCAGGGGTACCAACACATCCACGAATTGGGTGGGTGACTCACCCCGACTTCACAGGGACAGAAGCCCCTGGCTGTGCTGTGGGCCCTCCCAGCCTCCACCCTACGTATGTCTTCATCTGACTGTTCATCTGTATTCCTTTGTTTTTTTAATGTTTATTGATTTATTTTGAGAGAGAGAGAGGGAGCAGGGAAGGGGCAGAGAGAGGACCTCAAGCAGGCTCTCCTTTGTCAGCTCAGAGCCCGGGGTGGGGCGGGGAGATCATGACCTGAGCTAATCAGGAGTCTGATGCCTAACCGACTGAGCCCCCCAGGCGGCCCCATCTGTCCATAGTCTTTATCTTACCCTGTTGAAAAACGCGTTTCCCTGAGTTCTGTGAGCTGCCTTAGCAAATTAATCAAACCCAAGGAGGGGAGCGTGGGAACCTCAGCTTTACAGCCAATCGGACACACAGGTGACGACATGCACAGGTGACAACATGCACTGGCGTCTGCAGCAGGATGGGGGCAGTCTCATGGGGCTGAGCCCCTAACCCGTGGGGTCTGACGCTGCCTCCTGGTAAAGTGTCAGGATAGAATTAAAAGGAAGTGATCTGTAGGCCACTTGGCTGTGTCACAGAATTGCTTGGTGTGAGGAGAAGCTCCCCCTCACACACACACAATTCGTGACCATAAAGTGTCAGAAGTGAAGTGTTCTGTGTCAAAGTAGAGGAGGTGGCGGAGGAGGCAGCCTGGGATCTCCTAATAGAGACAACATGAAGGAAAACTTAGACAACTTTGTGAATATACTAAACCATACGGTAACATCCACTGAATTGGACTCCTTAAAAGATGCAGTATTGGGACGCCTGGGTGGCTCAGTCCATTGAGTGTCCAACTTCAGCTCAGGTCATGATCTCACAGTTCGTGAGGCTGAGCCCTGCGTTGGGCTCTGTGCTGACAGCTCAGAGCCTGGAGCCTGTTTCACATTCTGTGTCTCCCTCTCTCTCTCCCCCTTGCCCACTCACACTCTGTCTCTCTCTCACACACAAAAATAAACAAATACATAAAAATGCTTGAATCCAGGGGGGCCCTGGTGGGCTCAGTCGGTAGCGCGTGCCGCTCCTGATCTTGAGGCCGTGAGTTTGAACCCCATGCTGGGTGTAGAGACTGCTTAAATAAATAAACTTAAAAAAATATTTTAAAAAAAATTAAAAATACCCTACAGTTCAAGGAGGAAGGGGAAAAGGAGACCATGAAAAACCTTTATCCCTTAGCGTTTTCGTCAGCTACCGTCATGTGTATGACTTGTGCGTCCAAGAAACATACAAGCCCCGAGGAAAGGAAATAAGGCACATGCTTTTGGGAAAGGGAAGAGCCTTGAGCCTGAGAAAAAGGAGAAATCCCTTTCTCTAGCGTTTCTAATGCAATAGTTGAGCAATCTCCTGACGGGCCGTCGGAAGCAGACTCTGGCATGAATAACAGACTCTCGCAGGGAACTCCCCTACATCCCCTAGTGTGGCCTCGGTCAGGTGATTGGCGGATGCCTGTGCCCTTCTCTGGAGGGTTGCCCTGGGCTGACGGAACTCTCCACCCTGCACCCCATTCCTGGAAGCCATCATCTCATTGAGGGAGGGAGTACAAAGCCCTCCCCCTTGCTGAGGTCGGGACATTTCTGTGGTGAGGTCTCTGCTTGGACTCCCGCGTCCA